GTCTATGGAAGGTGTCCCTGCCCATGGCAGGGGGTGGCACTGGGAGGAGCTTTATGGTCCCTTCCAACCCAAACCCTGTGAAGCCGCACTGCTCTGGGTGAACTCTAACCAGTTTTTCCCAAGTGCTGTTGTGCTGGTGGTTACACAGCAGCAGACTGATGCAATTCTTGTACAAATGATACTTTTGGAACGATTATTTTACCTGATTTCCTCCCATGCCATGGCAGTTGAAAATGCCCACTTTTTCATTTTCCTTGCGGCCCATGTTGTCCAAGCACTGATTGGTTTCAACGTTCCTGATCTGAAGAAAGAAAGAAAAGTTCCTTGAATAAAAATGCCTGCAAATGTCACATTTATGCAGAAAGAATTACGTGACTGTAGGAGAAAGTACATTATCGGGGCATTCAACTACATGAATACATTTTAACTTGCAATTTGTACATATGTCACACTCCCAAAAGAAAATGAAAATAATTACAGAGAGTATAATGAGATTTCAAATTATATATTAAGTATGAACAGCATTCAAGGAAAATCTCATTCAATGCCCTGCGCTGTTTCGTTTAACAAATATAATATGATTTTACTTCCAAACAATGCAAAACTAACAGCTTGCCCAAAAATGCACTTTTCTTTTCTTTCAGCAGGGCTGACTCTACCCCAGGACAGAAAAACTGGGTATGAGGCGTGTCTGACGCCAGAGTCTTTCAGAGCAGCGGCTGCTGGGCAGCTTTGTGTCTAACTATATGCTTTTAAGCAGTTCTAAAATAAGACTTTCCCCCCAGAATCTCTCTGAACACAGCTCCCCTGCTCCTCCTCACTCTCTAGAGCATGGCAGGATTTTCTTACCAATGTGTGCAAAGCAAAACCACGTCTCCGGGTCCCTCATTCCTTTGGTAAAACGATGTATTCTGAAATATGCATCATCTGCAATCCCCCGTGCCACCTTTGGAGGCTCAGCAGAGACGGGCAGTCAACGGCAAACCAACCCCACCAGCCGGGCCCTGACCCAGCACTGGGACCCTGCAATCTGATTAACGACCCTGGCAAAGAGTGGCCGGCAAAGCTCACGTGGTCACCTCTTAATTGGCTCAAATGTTGTTAATCACACACAAAGTACATCGCTTGGTGCTGGTGAGTAACCTCATGGAATCATTTGGGTTGGAAAAGCCCTTGAAGCCCATCGAGTCCAACCGTTACCCCAGCACTGCCCAGGCCACCACTGACCCCTGTCCCTGAGTGCCTCGTCCACACGGCTCTGAAACCCCTCCCGGGATGGGGACTCCCCCCTCCCTGGGCAGCCCCTTCCAACCCCTGACAGCCCTTTCCAGGAAGGGATTTCCCCAATATCCAACCTAACCCTCCCTTGGCACCACTTGAGGCCGTTTCCTCTTGTCCCATCCCTTGTCCCTTGGGAGAAGAGACCGACCCCCCGCTCTGCCCCCTCCTCTCAGGGAGCTGTAGGGAGCGATAAGGTCTGCCCTGAGCCTCCTCTTCTCCAGGCTGAACCCCCCCAGCTCCCTCAGCCGCTCCTCACAGGAATTGTGCTCCAGACCCTTCCCCAGCTCCGTTCCCTTCTCCGGACACGCTCCAGCCCCTCCGTGTCTGTCTCACAGTGAGGGACCCAAAAGTGATCCCAATTGCCTTTTTGTAGAGATAGAATTTCAAGTACGTCCACGAGAAAGGTTATTTTTTTTTTTTCCTGCAATCTCTTCATTCATTCTGAGAACTCGAGTGAAAAGCGACTGGAAAACTCACCTATGATTATTGTGTCCTGGGTTTATAAAATAATTCCTGCTTTGCATTTATCTGGTATTCGCTTTCAGTGTTACACGATTAAAATGTAAAAAAGAAAATCCAGTATTCACCACATTTTGCACACTTAACGCCCGTGCTGAGGCGCATTTTCATCCGTCTAGGAAATTCAGATTCAACACACTCGCTGTCTGTAAGCTATGCTGTCACTGAATAGAAAATTCAGTGGCAAATAAAGGCTTGGCAACCTTCAGGGCCTGCCTGCCAAGCATAGAGTGCGTGAATTCCATAACCCACCTTGGAACTTCAGTTCCAAACGACTCCACGTTTTTGAAATTTCATTTAAAAATTGCGCACTTCATTTATAAAAGCAACCGAGGTATACAAATCAGTTGGGCAACAGCCAAATAACGTCCAAAATTACACGTACTACAATACTGATTATTATTGTTTCTAACAAGTTGGGCGGTGCACGTGAACCACGCATGGACACTGTCCGGTTCCAAGTCACGCCGGCACCACACTGCTGGAGGCCGTAAGTAAATTAAGGATGATTATCCCAAATGTGTCAAAAACATTCACTCTTTTTATCACTGTTTATACTAGAAAAGACCAAAATATGCACTCGCACATTATAATCTGAGGTCCGCTGGTGAGCACTCCTTACAGTTAGATTGCACTGTACTAGACAATCTTCTTCCCGCAGAGGGTGGGGAGCACTGGGACAGGTTCCCAGAGAAGCTGTGGATGCCCCATCCCTGGGAGCGTCCAAGGCCAGGCTGGATGAGGCTTGGAGCACCCTGGTCTAGTGGAAGGTGTCCCTGCCCATGGCAGGGGGTGGGACTGGGGAGGCTTTAAGGTCCCTTCCCACCCAAACCATTCCATGATTCTATGATTCCATGATCATTTTCTCAGGTTTTCCAGCCGATTCCCAGCAGCCAGCCAAGGCAAGGCTCCCGCTGGGGGCTGCTGATCACCATTCTGCCTCTGCCCAGAGCAGGAGAGAAGCACAGTCACCTCCTGACCGGGCATCTCACCAGCAGCTGGGCATCACGGACCGGCTGGACTAATGGTGCTGACAGCTCTGACCAGGCAGACAGTTTGTCTCACCTGAGACTAAGCGCCTGCTGGAAGAGAGGAAAATGACCAAGAAATACACTTTTGAGGGTTTAAAAATCCCCGTTACTGCTGAAGATGGTACCTGAGCTTGAGGTCTAAGAACCTGCGTTACTGCTCAACTGGCAGTCGGCAGCTGGAACAGTCACGTAACAGTTCTAATTCACAGACCCTGCCTGAACTGCTGTTCCCATAGAAACCGAGGCCGTGTTGGTAAAAATAAGGTGTTTTAATAACAATTTTATTACTTCCTCATACTTTTATTTTCCAGTCTGACAATATCGTACAAAACCTTATTATTTGACACTTGTTAGACGAGTTCTTTCCTTGCTGTAAAACCATGTTTCACTTCATTTTGTCATAGTTAAACTGAAAATCCTACTGTGGCTTTTATTTTT